ACACTTCTCATAAAATATTAAGATTTACAAACTCTCGCATTATTATCACTTGATTCTGCTCATATACTCATTTAACAAGTATTCTTAAACCTTTATTTTCACACACATACTTTAACAAATGATTGTGGGTTGCACATTGAATTATTATATTATTTATGTTCTTTTATTAAAAGTAACAACTAAGAAAAAGGGATATTACGTAATTTGTAAAAAAAAAAAGAAGAAAATGATAATAAATGTAATTAAATAAATAGATAAATAAAAACATAGATAAGTTTGATTTCGTAGCCTCCTTAACCTATGCATTTAAGCTTGAAGGAGTGTTTGAAAATCTAATACTCTAAAGTCAACTGACTTGGGAGCTATTGCCACAATGCTTGTTACATGGGTTAAGAAAAAAAGCTTAAGGGAATGAAATATTACACTATCTGTGTATTAGTATCTGCAACCCGAGTTACTAAACTCGTAAGGGTGTCTCAACACTTAATGTCCTAAAACCAACTGGTCAGGGAGTCATTAGCTAAAAGCTCGTTACATGGGTTAAAATGCATTGTGTTATATGTATATATATTAAAAAAATAAAAAAGATAATAATCTCAACCCAAGAAAGTTATCATTAAACATTAGAACAGAATATTGTTTCTTTCCATAGAAGCTCCATCATCTATGTTTTCATATATTGAGCACATAAAAAGAAAGTTTATTAATATCTTGCTTAAGAAGTATAAAGCAGATATATAAATTTAATGAGAGTTTGTTTATCTGTATATCCTACAACCCTGACACTGTTTCGTGTTTAGCCTATATCTTGAGTTCTAGAAGTCCAAATGACCTAATTTTGTTTTTATTTTTTGAAAGCTGAGAAAATTTTCTAAAGCTTTTATAATTCAAGTATGTTCGAATTCTAACATTAGCAATGATGTTTTGTTTAGACAATAAAATAAGGATCGACATCAAGTCAAGAGTTGACCATCCATTCAATAATTAGTTAACAAATCAATAATTCCTAATTGGCCTATAAAAGGAGGCATTAATCATGCATTTAGGCATCTTGGTTTTCATATCAAGATCATGTTCTTGTCTTTATATTTTGTAATGTTTAAGTTTGGATTTCATTAATCTCTTATTTATGCTTTTCATTTCCTTTCATTTAGTTATTTAACTTTTATCTTATTTATATTCTTATCTTATTTATTTATGTTTCTCTTTTTTCATTATGTTTAGTTAAGTTATTGTTTCAAGGTGAAAAGGTTACTGACACGACGAAAAGAATGATGTCTTCTCCCAAGTGTAGGAGTGTCGAAGTAATAAATAACCCGGCAAGACCGGGGTCGAACCACAGGGAGGTTAATTGTACAAATTATAGACAACAATTATAAGCAACAATAATAGCAATAATAACAACAACAACAACAACTATAATAATAATAATAATAATAGTAGTAGTAGTAGTAGTAGTAGTACTAATAATAATAATAATAATAATAAAGAAAGAGAAGAAGAAGATGATGATGATGAGAACTTAGAGATGAAATATTAATGTAAGGATTAAACAATAATAATAACAAATGTCAAGGTTAGAGGTTCCACAAATGGTATATCAAACAAGTATAGTATAAACTCTTATTATTGAATTGGAAACCACACACAACGGAGGTTCGAATCGGATTATAGAATGTTAACATGATTACATTAGTCATCTTATTCAATTATAGCTAATACTTGTAAATCTCGTCAAGCATTCATAATTATAACTTATGTTAACAACAAATCAAGTTCCTTTCATAGCTCAGGTGTCGGTTATACCATACATTATGGGCTATGAAAGAGCCAAGCATTTGTTGTACCAAGTGTTATACAACATAAATCAAGATTAATCATTTAACAAGCAAAGTATTAAAGAGTGAACAAGATAACAAATATAAAACATGTTAGTATCAAAAATTAAAGTCCATATTAAGTTTACATTATACTTATTCTCACACCATTAGTGTAACCTTTTCACCTTGACATAACTAACTTAGCTAGACATAATGAAAGAAAGCAAAATAAATAAACAAAATAAGAACATAAAAGTTAACTAAGTAAAGGAAAGGAAATGAAAGGCATAAACTTAATATTAATGAAAACAAAGCATAAAAAATACAAAGAGAGAAAGGAAGAGCATGATCTTGATCTGAACACCAAGATGCCTAAATGCATGGCAAATGCCTCCTTTTATAGGCCAAAATTGGGAACTATTGATTTGATGACTAATTGATAAGTGGGTGACCAACTTTTGACTTGGTGACAATCCTTATCTTCTCTTGTCTGCCCAAAACGTCATTGATAACGTCAAAACTGGAGCCAGTTGCAAACATGAAAGTTGTAGGCAATTGTCTCAGCTTTCTTGTGTAAAAAATTCAGCTCATTTGGACTTCTAGAACTCCAGATATGGCCAAAATACCGAACAGTGCTCGGGCTGGAAGACAGATTCGGGCTTCTTTGTTGTTGCTACAATTTGGACTTGATAATGGCCTTTTTAGATCTTGGGCTCCATATGAAAGTTGTAGGCCTATGTCTTACCTTTCCATCCATATAAATTGGACCTAAATCTGAGATATATAGCTCTAGATATGACCCAATTACCGAACAGTGTTCCAGTTTGGATTGCACCGACATCTCTTTTCTAAGTTTGGCCATCTCTTTATCCTTGCAATTTAAGTTCTTAAAGTCATCAATCAATCCTTTCATTTATGTGATAGACCTGCATTAAAAATAGACATTTACCACAAATTAAAGGTATCTTATATTATTAGATACATTATTATAAAACATATTTTAGTTAAGGAGTTATTGATACTGACATTTACCACAAATTAAAGTTATCTTATATTATTAGATATATTATTATAAAATATGCTTTGGTTAAGGAGTTATTGATACTTCAAGTGCAAAATGATGATATAAAACCATGATAAAAATGCACTTTTAAGTACTAATCACGCGTCAACCACCATATTATATTTATGAATTTGTTTCACACCCAAGAAACTATAGAAACTATAGTTCTTGTCGAATGAATTTTATATGTGATGGAATTGTAAATAGTTTAATGGAATAATAAAAAATACTTTCATATAAAGTATTGTTTATTTCATGATGTAATAATAGTAACTAAATATATAATATTTCAATTAAAAACTATCAATATTAATATATGTCTATTTTAGTTATTTTATAACATCAATTTGAAAATTATTTTTAACCAAACACAATTAACTACTATTTTTAACCAAACATAATTAACTATTTTTTATTAAACCTCAATTTCAACTACAATTTTAACAAAACATATATTTTTCCAAACCAACCTCAACTTAAAATACTTTTTATAATTTTTTTTTTTAAATTACAACCATAATAGTTAACTCAATACTAAACACACTAATGTCTCCCAATCAGCTTTTCACGTGAGAAACTAGAACAAAAATGCTTCTTATTAATTGTGACAATACCTCTATTTTTATGTGGGGTCCACAACTAAACCTTAGTTTAAATTTGTTACCAAACATTGGGAAATTGTGTTGGGAAAAGCCATAAAAGCCACCACTCTTCTAAAAACGTACTAGATTTAAAGTATGGTGAGATTCATTAATAATGTGGGGTCCACAAGCTAAACCCTAGTTTAAATTTGTTACCAAACATGATACGTGAACAATGATACTTATGCTAGATTTCAAGTATTCATTTTCACTTTCAAAGCTGACAAAAATGTGAGAAATTGTATTATTATGGTGAGATTTATTAATAATTTTCATAGGTGGTCCCATGATTTGTGCGAGCGCAGAGAGCAGGTCTTTTCATGCCTAAGAATTTGTTTGCCACTCTGAATACGAATGTGTACAGTGAATTTGAATTTTGATTTACACAATAACGATAATGAATGGATGGAATAGATGTTTTCGTACCTTAACTTCACTAGAGCCATAAACAGAGATATCTTGAGGATGCCCATGTAGACAGAGCAAGTGATTGAAAAAATATGCACCAAAGCAATTTGCTGACACAAGAGTAAGGGATTCCAACTTCCTCTGTGGCCCTTCTAATCTTCCTCTTCTTCTCAAGGAAAGCTTCAAATAGGGGCAATGGAGTCACTCTATCCTCTTCAACTCTAAACGGAAAGAACCTCTAATATGCACAGAAAATTACATGTATAAGCTTAGATAGCCCACCACGCATGCACATAACTATAAATAACATTCTCCAAATTGTTATACTTTAACAAGAGAATATATATACCTTTATATTATTAGCAACCTTTATGGTTTATATGATATTGAGGAGTTTGTTTGATGTCATGATGAATAAAAATATCAAAATGAAACAAATTATGTAATCCAATAAATAATCATCAAAATATTAAATGATGGGCTTGAAAAAAATTATCCTAGAAAAATCAATAAAGATCAAATTATGATGAATTAAATTTGAAAAAAAAACTAATAAAAAAATACAAAAAATAAAAATAAAAAGAAGAAAAAAGACCCATATGCTTACGTTTGGTTAGACCAATGTGTTTAAGCCTCTAAAAAAAGGTGAGGAGTATGAGCCAAGAGTAGTCTACACAACTAAGCCTCTTTATTTTAACTTTTTTAAGTGGTGGATAATATTTTTATCCCCCCTTAATTTTTTTGAAAAAAGAATAGAGATGTTGCATCACAAGCTTTGCCCTTATTATGGTGACTTTTGGTCACTGGAAAGTTAGGGGTTTGATAAAATAATAATTCATTCTTAACCATATTTTGACATAAAAATTCAAAAAATATCATAAACACCTTGAAAATCATTCTCTAACAACCTAAAAATATTCCTAAAAAACCACAATAAACTTGAAACTGATTTTTTCTACCTAAAGTTCACCATCTCATATAAGGTCATGTGAAAATAACACATAGGATAAAACTATACTCATCAAAAGTAATGATAATGGCCTCGACCTCACAACTTGACCTTTTAGATGTCCGTCTATCTGCGGACGTTACAAACAAGAAAACAAATTCAAGACATGGAAATCACAGATCATACAACTCATTCAAAAGTAGCAGCTGTAGGATCTGGAGAACTAGTGAGAAAAATATCAAGAAGTTGATCGATCATTCTAAATTCTAGGTCTCGATATAGCCCAGAAGCCTCCAAGTCATCCTCTCCTAGTTCAAACCCTATTGACACGACTGAAAGATTGATGTCTTCTCCCAAGTGCAGGAGTGTCAAAGTAATAAATAACCCGGCAAGACCGGGGTCGAACCACAGGGAGGTTAATTGTACAAATTATAAACAACAATTACAAAACAACAATAACAACAACAACAATAGTAATAATAATACTAATAATAATAATAATAAAGAAAGAGAAGAAGAAGAAGATGATGATGATGAGAACTTAGAGATGAAATATTAAAGTAAGGATTAAACAATAATAATAATAACAAATGTCAAGGTTAGAGGTTCCACTAATGGTATGTCAAACAAGTATAGTATAAACTCTTATTATTCAATTGGAAACCATGTATAGTATAAACTCTTATTATTGAATTGGAAACCACACACAAAGGAGGTTCCAATCAGATTATATATTGTTAACATGATTACATTAGTCATCTTATTCAATTAATGCTAATACTTGTAAATCTCGTCAAGCATTCATGATTATAACTTATGTTAACAACAAATCAAGTTCCTTTCATAGCTCAGGTGTCGGTTATACCATACATTATGGGCTATGAAAGTGCCAAGCATTTGTTGTACCAAGTGTTATACAACATAAATCAAGATTAGTCATTTAACAAGCAAAGTATTAAAGAGTGAACAAGATAACAAATATAAAACATGTTAGTACCAAACATTAAAGTCCATATTAAGTTTACATTATACTTATTCTCACACCATTAGTGTAACCTTTTCAACTTGACATAATTAACTTAGCTAGACATAATGAAAGAAAGGAAAATAGATAAACAAAATAAGAACATGAAAGTTAACTAAGTAAAGGAAAGGAAATGAAAGACATAAACTTAATATTAATGAAAGCAAAGCATAAACATTACAAAAAATACAAAGAAAGAAAGGAAGAGCATGATCTTGATCTGGAAACCAAGATGCCTAAATGCATGGCAAATGCCTCCTTTTATAGGCCAAAATTGGGAACTATTGATTTGATGACTAATTGATAAGTGGGTGGCCAACTTTTGACTTGGTGACAATCCTTATCTTCTCTTGTCTGCCCAAAACATCATTGATAACGTCAAAATTGGAGCTAGTTGTAAACAAGAAAGTTGTAGGCAATTGTCTCAGCTTTCTTGTGTAAAACCTTCAGCTCATTTGGACTTCTAGAACTCCAGATATGGCCAAAATACCGAACAGTGCTCGGGCTGGAAGACAGATTCGGGCTTCTTTGTTGTTGCTACAATTTGGACTTGATAATGGCCTTTTTAGATCTTGGGCTCCATATGAAAGTTGTAGGCCTATGTCTTACCTTTCCATCCATATAAATTGGACCTAAATTTGAGATCTGTAGCTCCATATATGACCTAATTACCGAACAGTGTTCCGGTTTGGATTGCACCGACATCTCTTCTCTAAGTTTGACCATCTCTTTATCCATGCAATTTAAGTTCTTCAAGTCATCAATCAATCCTTTCATTTATGTGATAGGCCTGCATTAAAAATAGACATTTACCACAATTTAAAGGTATCTTATATTATTAGATATATTATTATAAAACATGCTTTGGTTAAGGAGTTATTGATACTTCAAGTGCAAAATGATGATATAAAACCATGATAAAAATGCACTTTTAAGTACTAATCACCTATCGTGTCACCCTTCACGAACAAACTGTGAAGAATAGAAACTGGAATATTTTATGGATATGGAAGGGCTTAAACAGATGTTAGCAACGTTGATAAGTTTGAGTAATTATCTCCAAGTTGGATTTCCAGTATTTAAGTCCCATTGTATCTCTAATGTTAGCTGTAGAAATATATCCTAGAATCCTTGTAAATGTGTGATTATATCCTAATAAAAATAGCTTTTCATATAGTTATACAATAAGCTTGAAACTATAGGATCAGGAAAACAAAGCTTTGTAAAGTTGGTTATTTATACTGTGCTTGTAATA